AGATTCCTAACAGACAACATATACTTGTTTGTATTTAACTAAGACTCCTAACAGACAACATATACTTGTTTGTATTTAACCAAGACTCCTAACAGACAACATGTAATATTGCTTTCTCGTTAAATATTATTTACTGGTGACCAAAAGCGTCGCTAGATTAATTAAATGAATGTGTAAAAACTTTATTAGGCGTAAAGTGTAATCTGTTCAGATATAAGTGTAAAAAAATAAAATATTTGTTTATAGTTAACACAGTGGGGTGTTTGTACTCTTATCACTGTGGGCAACGATACCTGATTTTTAGCGTTGTAGCCTCGCAGATTAGCCGCTGATCCCTCTCGGGGAGAAGGAGGAGGAGGGGGGGGGGAGCTTATTACAACTCAGCTGTTCTACTTATGTTTCTACTACAGATCCAATCAAACATTTGTGTTTCATTCTGTTTCCCACATTAAATGACACCTTAAACTAATTATTGTGAGGAATTTATTACGCTCTTTTCACACACTTCGGCCATCTGGTGGAAAGAACAATATTTAACTCACTCTAATTTGCTGCTGGAACTTCGTTAACATATTCTTTGTCGTTTTAGTTGTATCATACGTGGTAATACAACACACTAACTTAACAGTTATAACTCGATCACTACGGAGTAGTGGAAGGTAATACCATACACTAACTCAACAGATATAAATCGATCACTACGGAGTAGTGGAAAGTAATACCACACACTAACTTAACAGACGTAACTCGATCACTACGGAGTAGTGGAAGGTAATACAACACACTAACTTAACAGATATAACTCGATCACTACGGAATAGTGGAAGGTAATACCACACACTAACTCAACAGACGTAACTCGATCACTACGGAGTAGTGGAAGGTAATACCATACACTAACTCAACAGATATAACTCGATCACTACGGAGTAGTGGAAGTAATACCATACACTAACTCAACAGATATAACTCGATCACTACGGAGTAGTGGAAGGTAATACCACACACTAACTCAACAGATATAACTCGATCACTACGGAGTAGTGGAAGGTAATACAACACACTAACTCAACAGATATAACTCGATCACTACGGAGTAGTGGAAGGTAATACAACACACTAACTTAACAGATACCCACTGTGCAAACTGTTGAAGGTGGCTATACAAGAACACCTACAGAAGTTGATTGAGAAGAATATAGTTACAATGATACTTTTCTGTTATATTCTGAGCTACTGTGGTGTTATGCCTGTTGAGTTAGTGTGTAATATTACCTTCCATTACTCTGTAGTGATAGTGTTCTATCTGTTGAGTTTGTGTATGGTATTACCTTCCACTACTCCGTAGTGATCGAGTTACGTCTGTTGAGTTAGTGTGTAATATTACCTTCCATTACTCTGTAGTGATCGAGTTATATCTGTTAAGTTAGTGAGTTGTATTACTTTCCACTACTCCGTAGTGATCGAGTTATATCTGTTAAGTTAGTGTGTGGTATTACCTTCCACTACTCCGTAGTGATCGAGTTATATCTGTTGAGTTAGTGTATGGTATTACCTTCCACTACTCCGTAGTGATCGAGTTACGTTTGTTGAGTTAGTGTATGGTATTACCTTCCACTACTCCGTAGTGATCTGTTAAGTTAGTGTATGGTATTACCTTCCACCCCTCCGTAGTGATCTGTTAAGTTAGTGTATGGTATTACTTTCCACTACTCCGTAGTGATCAAGTTACGTCTGTTGAGTTAGTGTGCGGTATTACCTTCCACTACTCCGTAGTGATCGAGTTATATCTGTTGAGTTAGTGTATGGTATTACCTTCCACTATTCCGTAGTGATCGAGTTATTTCTTGTTTCTAGATACAGATGGTTCCCAAATGTTTTAATCAAAAGTGTAGATTTCGTAAAATTTTATTTTTGGAGCCTTAAAAGTTATTATAGAATAGATAGCTGTAAATTGGTTTTTAAAAGTTCCGTGTACTGATATTTTTATTAATTATAATTTTATATAAAGACTCATTCTTATTTTTTATTATCTCTTGCACATTTTCAACTTTAAACAATCTCGTTTATTCAATTATTAACTGAATCAGTAAATAGAAGAACACGCGGTGTAGTGAAATAACGCGAATTCCCCCAAAATACAATTCCTGTACGTTCCAGTATGTCACGTGGTAAAAACTATTTTACAGGGGACTTCACCATCACCTAGCTGTTATTTTGTGAAACTGTGATCTGTATTACTTAGCGGAATTATGAATAAAAAAACCGAGCACAATAAAATAAATATATAATAAGAATAACAGTAGCGTACGTAAAGAGAAGTAACAGATAAAACAGGATCAAAACAGAAAACAAAGACGTAGAAAATGTACAGCAAAGAAGGCACACACTACCATACTGATTCTCATAAGGGTTAGCATTAGCTGTTAGAACTAAAAACGTAAGATTAATCAATCGATACAAGGATGACCATGCTTGGGTATTGGATAAAAATTACACAGTTAATTTAGAAACAGAACAACAGTCTTGAGAGTTTGTTTGTTTGAAGTTAAGCACAAAGCCACACAATGGGCTATCTGTGCTCTGCTCACCACGGGTATCGAAACCCGGGTTCTAGCGCTGTAAGTCCGCAGACATACAGCTGTGCCACTGGGGGACATCTAGAGAGACGCGTGCTTCAGTTGGTGAATATCATACTGGTTGAGTGATAGAATTCAAGATGGATACGAAATCTGTAGAAGGATAGAGAGACGGAATGGGCTCTTAATACTCACATATAACAGATGCTGCTATAAATCTGACACCATTGGCAGGAGGAGGGCAATGTGGAAAGAAAGGCTCCAGAATGTAGTTGGCGAACGTAAGGGCTGCGATAGCGTTTCCTGTTGGCATGACAATAAGCAAAGCAGCCCACAGAAAAAGGAAGGCTGGTAATGGTCCAAAGGCCTCGTAAATGTATGCATAATCCCCTCCAGATCTCGGCAGAGTGGTTCCGAGCTCAGCGTAGCATAAGGCCCCCACCATGGACAGTAAGCCGCAAGCCGTCCACACCACGAGTGACATACCAACAGAATTAACTTCTTGAAGCACGCCTCGCGGAGATACAAAGATACCAGAGCCGACGATGACCCCCACGATGATTCCCACACCATTCAGGAGTCCTATTCTTTTCTTCAGCCTAACACTCGAGAAGGACAGGCTGTCCACCACCTTGTCGTCTACTATGTGGATAGGTAGCTTCTCTGGCACGTGGTTGACCGTCATGGCGTCAAACCTCGGCGTCCTGTTCACACTGTCGTTCAGTAAGTGAGTCGTCTCATCATTGCTGCCTCCGTCTCTCTCAACTCCGCGCGATCCTTGCTTCATCCTCGCTAAGCGGCCTTAAGACGATACTAGCTCCACCACACTAGAGCTAAGACAAACAAAATAAAATAACGATGTAATTTAACCCGTTGTATACAATTAAAACTGCGTGATACTACACAATGTATATATATCTACTTACTGGTAGTTTACGGTAAGTGGTGTTTTAAAAGAATGTTTTCCCGCGTTTAACGATAATTTATGGTGACATCTTGGTCAGGTTGACGAAATTATGAAATGTCAGAAAAGTTTGTAAATTTATAGTTTTGTTCGCAAAATGTTGGAGATAAGGACGTGTCTAGGGTGAGAAACGTATTTTAAAATCAATGTATTCTATGACCATTAAGTAAGAACATTTAACGTGGAGTATACAAGATCTCTTGCAGTTGTGGCTTGAATTAATTCGGACAAATAAGCAGAAATTTTAAGTTTCGAACACAAAAACTCGTTTGTTTGTAATTAAGCACAAAGCTACACAATGGACTATCTGTACTCTGCCACCACGGGTATCGAAACCCGGATTCTAACGTTGTAAATCCTCAGACATACCGCTGTGCCACTGGGGGGGGGGGCAAAGAAACGTCGTCGAAAAAATAGAAAACTGGCGATTCGGCCTTGGCGGAACGTGTGATAAACTCTTCACATAACACTGAATGGGATAAGGTTCAACTACTTAAAGAACGTAAGGTTTGTTTGTTTTTTAATTATACACAAAGCTCCACAATGGGCTATCTGTACTCTGCCCACCACGGGTATCGAAACCCGGATTCTAGCGTTGTAAGTCCGCAGACATACCGCTGTGCCACTAAGGGGCTGTTTTGATTAACGTTTCGTTGTAGTTGGACTAATACATGATCTGTGATCAGATGTTTCGTCTTACGTTTTCATGAACGTTTCGTTCTAGTTAGACTAACACATGCTCTGTGATCAGGTGTTTCATTTTATGTTTTGATTAACGTTTCGTTCTAGTTGGTCTAATACATGCTCTGTGATCAAATGTTTCGTCTTACGTTTTGATGAACGTTTCATTTGTGACCAAAACTTTCTCTCTTCTCTCTCTATGGGTTTAGTGAATTAATAATTAGCTCTTGTCGTAGCGAAATATTGACTGAGTCACTGTGTACATATTGACTGTGTATGTGAACTACAGCAGTTCATGTGTTTCCTCTCAACAAGCCCCCTAGTGGCACAGCGGTGTGTCTGCGGAATTACAACGCTAGAATCCGAGTTTCGATACCCGTGGTGGGCAGAGCACAGATAGCCCATTGTGTAGCTTTGTGCTTAATTACAAATAAACAAACAAGTTACACTGGTATCACTCGAAACTTCGCCCTTCAGCTGGTCAACAATATCTGGTCTAGATAATCACCAAACCTGGTGTGAGGTTTGGTGATTAACTTAAGATTATGTTTCCCTGGTAGATTTCGACAAATAACAAAAGGGAAATAAAATAAATGCTTAGCTGCTCTGTCTCATACTACTAGTGCTATCTAGCGGCAGTCAGGTAAAACTACAATTTTCCAACAGACAGGCCAAGTGGTTAGGGCGCTTCACTCGCACTCTGATGATCGCGGGTTCGAATCCCCGTCACACCAAATATGCTGGTCCTTTCAGCCGTGGGGCGTTATAATGTGACGGTCAATCCCACTATTCGTTGGTGAAAGAGTAGCCCAAGAGTTGGCGGTGGGTGGTGATGACTAGCTGGCTTCCCTCTAGTCTTACACTGCTAAATTAGGGACGGCGAACGCAGACAGCCCTCGTGTAGCTTTGCGCGAAATTAAAAAAACACAGACAAAAAACCGTATAATGTATTTTTGTAACGCTATTAAACATGAGTATAGTTATATTGACAAGTCCTATAAATGTATTAGTTTAAAGTTAACGACATTTTTTATCAAAAACAACATTTTCAGACATAAAAATTACGTACTTGGCAAAGGAACGAAATCATGAAATATTCTTCGTATTATGTGTGCACAAATAATGTAAGTATTTCTTTGGTGAACTTGGCTGTTACATTACACAGTGCGTAGATTTGGCTGTTACACAGTGGGTGAATTTGACTGTTACAAAGTGCGTAAATTTGCCTGTTACACAGTGTGTGGATTTGTTTGTTACATATTGTGTTATTTGACTGTTACATAGTATGTGGATTTATCTGTTGCACAGTGGGTGAATGTGACCGTTACACAGTGTGTAGATTTGTCTGTTGTACAGTGTGTGTGGATTTGTTTGTTACATATTGTGTTATTTGACTGTTACATAGTATGTGGATTTATCTGTTGCACAGTGGGTGAATGTGACCGTTACACAGTGTGTAGATTTGTCTGTTGCACAGCATGCACTATTGAATATTTTTAAAATTATCACCTAGCAATAATACCTTGCCTTGTGCGCAAGCACAAAGCTACACAATGGGCTATCTGCGCTCTGCCCACCACGGGTATCGAAACCCGGATTCTAGCGTTGTAAGTCCGCAGACATACCGCTGTGCCACTGGGGGACTGTAACAATACCATAAACTGTCAACAGTATTTCCTGTGTAACAGCCAAATCTACGCACTGTGTAATGTAACAGCCAAGTTCACCCACTGTGTAACAGTCAAATCTACGCACTGTGTAATGTAACAGCCAAGTTCACCCACTGTGTAACAGCCAAATCCCTCTAGTCTATCAGTTAAAAATAAGAAACCACTGACACAGATAGCCTTTCAGTACCTCTGCTCAAATATTCGTATTTATGTAAACGAATCTTTCCACACTACTGTTCATAGTTCAGGGAGATGTCTATACTCCGCAGAAACCTTGAAGTATCAAAGAAACGAGAAAAAAAAATTCGATTCATTTTTTTTTCGTGATTGGAGTCAGATAAAGGTAGTGGTAGCACGATCTGAATATATATATATATTCTCCACTGATCTCACCTCTCTTTACTAGATCTTACAACTATGCTCTTGCGTTACGTCCATTTGAGGCGTTTTATGTTTCGCGCTATTTAAACGCGAAATGACATTGCCGCACAAACGCGTTCCGCATATTAGGGTCGTGGATACTATTCGGTCAGATAAGAGTATCACAACAGTTGGCGGCAGGAGCTGTTGCCTAGCTACCTTCTCTCTAGTCTACCCGTTCAAAGCCCTCCAGTGGCTCAGCATTAAGTCAGTAGGGTTACGACGCTAGAAATTGGGTTTCGATACCTGTGGTGAGCAGAGCACAGATAGCCCATTGTGTAGCTTTGTGCTTTACAACCACCAAAACAAAACCTGTTCAAAATTAGGGTCGGGTGTATGTAGATATCCATTTTGTAGCCTTGCGTGTTGATTCTACATACAACAACAACAACAACCAACAAAAACGTAATTCTTTCTGCTTAGAACCTTAAAAAAAAAGGTTATAGCATTTTATTTTTACTCGGAAAGAACTTATGAATGACAGAGTAAAGTTGAACAGTGACATCATCATGATCTCACTCTCCTTGCCACCGTCGAACGTTTTCTATTCCCTTAGTTATTAATTTACAAAATTCCAATATAATTTGGGTTTTGCGTTTCATATTAAAATTTAGTCAATGGAATTACAAAATTTACATTGTTTTTGTTACTTGTGGAGCTGGTTGAGTCACCATGGACGTCACATGTGCTCCCAGTTTCCCAATTAGAAAGAATTCCTGTAGCATGAGATGTGCTACTGATAATAGCAGTGATCATTTCTACTGGCAAGTCCGGTGATGTCCCACTCCGTTTTTCACAATGAGACTGGTCTTTAGTTACGTGGATGTGCTCCCAGTTTCTCAATTAGAAAGAATTCCTGTAGCATGAGATGTGCTACTGATAATAGCAGTGATCATTTCTACTGGCAAGTCCGGTGATGTACCACTCCGTTTTTCATAATGAGACTGGTCTTTAGTTACGTGGATGTGCTCCCAGTTTCCCAATTAGAAAGAATTCCTGTAGCATGAGATGTGCTACTGATAATAGCAGTGATCATTTCTACTGGCAAGTCCGGTGATGTCCCACTCCGTTTTTCACAATGAGACTGGTCTTTAGTTACGTGGATAGCGCGTGCGTGTGTAAAAGAAAGATAGTAAGTATATAATGTCACGTTTCTCTTGTGAAATAACTTAAAATTGTTTTCTTTCATTAATTAGAACCTCTCAACAAAAGCATTGCCATTTGGAGTTAGGAGTAGGGGAAAACTAACCTTTTAATATCATAAAAATATATTTGATAATATTGTACACCTTTTGTAGATGGTTTTTCTTTCCGCTGACGAAGTAAGGATGAATTTTTGTATTTTTAATATTGGATAATATGATAAGTGTAACGATTTAAGAACCGTCACATCTCTAACAAAGTTCAAGAAGTACTACTGCTAATACAACGTTCGTTGCTATAGGTTACTAACAGGCTTTTATTACCAGTACGGGGGATAGCTCCTACAGAGCACTTTGAGGTTATTCAATCAACGTGTGCTGCCCGTTGCACATTCACTATACGGACTTTGATTGTAGAGCCCGTAGGAACCATTACTATTTTACATACGGTAGATAGTGCAAGATGGCTATCCTTGAAAATTATCATGCTGTCATCAGAATAATGATAGCAATTTGGGGGGTATAGTTGCTATGATGTTGTCAGTGAGACAAGTACGGGGTCGGCGCCATGGGGGGAGGGGCTTAATGTGTTTATGACAAATACAAATCAAAAATACACGTAAATCTAAACGTAGTATTAACGAACTCAAACGTCAAGGTTTCTAGTGCTTTAATAATGATAATAATAATTAAAACAAGAGGGAATTCTCAATAGCCGCGGCTGTAATTATATCTCAACTCGGTCAAGAGATGGAGCTATGAGCTAGAAGTTTATACCTGAAAAAACAAATAGAAGAACTCGGAGCCATTCTATGAGCCGCTATGCCGGGGCTAAAAATTTAGGAAACTACATTCGGGTCAATAACAATGCGCTGTCACGTGATTTATTAATTGATTTACAGTGACGTGTAACAGTAGTGACTACGAGTTAATTACACATGATTACATTTTCCGAAATCTGTCACCCACACCTTCAAATAAGTGAATCCCTCATGTTGCCTCAGGGACTCCCTAGGTATCTGTAATATACCCCAGTATGACGTCAGTCGCCTGTGAATAGATGAAGTAGATATAATTAGTATTTAAATTAGGAAAATGCTAATAGGTAGGTTGAAAGCCAGTGTATGTACGATGGGAGGAAGAATTGTGAGAATGGCACTAGCAAAGATGGCACCTTTCTATGTATATTAACGTAGAAATGGCACTGCAATTAGTACTCTCCCCCCCCCCTCCTCTTCAGTTACCTTGCCGAACGTTTAGGACGTAAACTATGAATGGGCGAAAATGAAAAACCAACAGCTTGAAGAAACAGGAGTGGTTGGGTAGATTTAGAGACATCTTCTGTTGTGGTAGGGAAACAGCGTCGTTATTTATGGTTGAGTATGGTTGGTTTGTTTGAAGGTATAATAACAAAATTACCCCCCCCCCTCAATTAAAGATTCAACTAAGAAAAACTGTTTGTGTGTCTGTTTGTTGTTAAGCGCAAAGCTACACAATAGACTATTTGTGCTGTGCCCATCACGGGTATCGAAACCCGGTTTCTAGTGTTATTAGCCTTCAGACTTACTGTTGAGCCACTGGAGGCTTAAAGCTGGGATTGATTGTCACATTATAATGCCCCCACGGCTGAAAGGGCGAGCATGTTCGGTGATATGATTCGACCCATCTACTAAACGTTCACAATGTTATTATGTGTTTTTATAAATTTCAGCTTTCATTTTCCCTGTCTCGAGACACGTAATACGAAAAATATTTCATGATTTCGTTCCTTTGCAGATGGCCAAGTATGTAATTTTTATGTCTGAAAATGTTTTTGATAAAAAAATAATCTTAACTTTAAACCAACGCATTTATAGGACTTGTCAATCTAACTATACTCTTGTTTAATAGCGTTACAAAAATACATTATGCCCATTGCGTAGTTTTTCCCTTAGCAACACAATCTGATGATCGCGGGTTCGAATCTCTCTCACACCAAACATGCTCGTCCTTTCAGTCGTGGGGGCGTTATAATGTGACGGTCAATCACACTATTCGTTGGTAATAGACTAGCCCAAGAGTTGGCGGTGGGTGGTGATGACTAGCTGCCTTCCCTCTAGTCTTACACTGCTAAATTAGGGACGGCTAGCGCAGATAGCCCTCGTATAGCTTTGCCCGAAATTTGAAACAAACAAACAAACCCTTAACAACAAACACACAAACAAGTATTCAAAGCTCTCGATGGGGAAATGCCATTTGGAACAGACAAAAAAACGTTATTTGTACTGTGTTAACCACGGGTAACGAAACCTGATTTTTGGCGTCGTAAGTCCAAGGACTAACCACTGAGCCGTTAGGGGGCAGCTTTTAATGAATGAAAACAAAAGAAAATCGAGATACACCGATGTTTCAATGATTTTTTTGTTTGTTGTTGTTGTTTATTGTGGAGTATACAGAAATTAGAAAAATTGTCATTTTCAACCGTTCTAAGTTTTTCTTTTAAGATAGAAAACTACCAAAATTTGCGATATTTCAAAACCAGGTGACAACTAAACTAATAAACAATTGATACTCACGATGGGCGTCTGAGTTGAATTTATAAACGAATTGTAGTAGTGGTGACTACCGTGAGAAAGTACTTATCTCGTGAAGTCTGTTGTTTACCCGATAATTGGCCATAGTCCGTTGATAAGGTGTAAAAGAAACAAACAGACCTTGCATGGCCTTGTAGTTAGGGCGCTCGACTCGTAATCCGCGGGTCACGGATTTCAGGCATGGTGAACGTTATAATGTGTCCGTCAATCCCACTGTTCGTCGGTAAAGAGTAGCCCATGATTTGGTGATGGGTGGTGTAGACTGTCCTCTCTCCGTTCTATAAATTAGGGACAGCTAGTGCAAACAGCCCTGGATTAGGGACAGCTAGTGCAAACAACCCTGGATTAGGGACAGCTAGTGCAGATAGTCCTGGACTAAAGACAGCTAATGCAGATAGCTCTGGAGAAGCTTTGCGCGAGATATTCAATATCAAGTGAGGAATAAACCATAAATTTCGAAATTTGAAACTTAAAATTTAAGTAGTTTTTTTTTTTGTTACTATGAGATATTTTGTGTACAGTCAGTTTATATATATATATATAAAATATTCAAAGTAGTGTTTTACCATTATGTCCAGTTCTTACTGTACTGACAGTGGTGTGTTCCTCCTGGGGCTAGTGTTTTACTGTTATATTCAGTTCTTACTGTACTGACAGTAATATGTTCCTCCTGGGGTTAGTGTTTTACCATTATGTCCAGTTCTTACTGTACTGACAGTGCTGTATTCCTCCTGGGTAGTAAGAACTGAATATAATGGTAAAACACTAGGTACTGACAGTGATGTATTCCTCCTGGGTCTAGTGTTTTACCATTATATTAGTTCTTACTGTACTGACAGTGACGTATTCCTCCTGGGGCTAGTGTTTTACCATTATATTCAGTTCTTACTGTACTGACAGTGACGTATTCCTCCTGGGTCTAGTGTTTTACCATTATATTCAGTTCTTACTCTACTAACAGTGATGTGTTCCTTCGGTGGCTAGTGTTTTAACATTATATTCAGTTCTTACTGTACTCGACTCGCACTCTGAGGGTCGTGGGTTCGAATCCCCGTCCCACCAAACATGCTCGCCCTTTCAGCCGTGGGGGCATTATAACGTGATGGTCAATCCCACTATTCGTTGGTAAAAAGAATAGCCCAAGAGTTGTCGGTGGGTGGTGATGACTAGCTGCCTTCTCTCTAGTCTTTCACTGCTAAATTAGGGACGGCTAGCGCAGATAGCCCTCGTGTAGCTTTGCGCGAAATTAAAACCAAACCAAACAATTAATAAAGACGGCAGCCATGATAAAATATGAGCTTGTTAATTACCTCTTTTTTCGAAGGGTGGGGTGGGGAATAAGGCCGCTCTTCACTTTTAAATTTAACACTACATTACTGTGAGCTAATGAACAGGGTTGCTTAAACTTTTGGGAGAGTGAACTCATAAACTTTTGAGGTCGTGCACAGCTGTATGAGCTAGTTTTTGAAATTAAATAATGCTTCAATCAATGCACCGTTAATATAATTAAGGGAGGGACCAAGCACGTGAAATGAAAGAAAGAAGGATGGGAGAATTAGACTGACATGTTAGCCGCTAAAGTTCAGCCCTCTCTCCCGCCCCCATCTTAGCGACAATCCGCCAAACTGGTAAAAATATGAGTTTTTTGAAAATCTCTCTCTCTCTTGCTTTCAGTTTTCTTACTTTTATTGCATTAGTTTCTTGACGAGAAATTATAAATTAATGTTCTTGTGTGCAAACCCCCCCCCCCCCCCCCCTCTTAGTAACGATCCGTTTTCTATTAAAAGTGTAACATTGGTTGCTAGGAGAAGCTACCTTGGTGATACTTGACCACGACTGACGTTTGTTAATTTTGAACGGAAGTTGCAGTGGTTTAGAAAAACTTATCTAACACTAACTTCCTAGTTTTATTCTTGTTGCAAAAAAATCAAAAATCAAACGAATATAAAGATATAAGTTAACTAAAAAAAATCTATTATTCACATGCTCACATCTGTTGCAGTTTTTAAATCTCCTGTTGCTGCTATTAAAGGAAATGCGAATGTTTCTACACAAAATGAGATAAGCAGCAGAAGATAAAAGTAGAAGATGCTATTAAAGGAAATGCGAATGTTTCTACACAAAATGAGATAAGCAGCAGAAGATCAAAGTAGAAGATGCTATTAAAGGAAATGCGACTGTTTCTACACAAAATGAGATAAGCAGCAGAAGATCAAAGTAGAAGATGCTATTAAAGGAAATGCGACTGTTTCTACACAAAATGAGATAAGCA